ATGGGCTACGGCATCCGTTTTGGCATGGTCTGGGTGGACTACAAGACTCAGGAGCGCGTGCCGAAAAAGTCGTCGTACTGGTACAAGCAGGCCATCGCAGACAACGGGTTCACCATCTAAGTAGTGGTTTTCGTGAGAGTGCTACGACAGTAGATGTAGTAGATGTATTGTAGCAGTTCGTCCATTGCTTGTCGATGCCCACCACTTCAACATGCATCTTTTTAACCAATCATGTCAACCGATTCAACGTGCGAGAGACCATCACTCCTTCCATCACTGGCAAGGAGGAGGACTCGCGGTCACAGCGTCCTCTCGTTTTGCTGGCGCAGAGCTCCAACTTCGCCGTCCTTCTCCGCTAGATCGTGACGGTGTCTATTCCGACATTCGAAGCTGTGATCTACTCGAACCACGTCGCGCTCGTTCGCCCAGAAGTCCATACTGAGAAGACTGGTGCTATTCATGTACCCTCTCCGCTAACATCGTGTTCTGACGATCCGGCGCCGATCAGTTCTTCTTGTATCTACATACGCATGTACTTTAGCAGCATGGTGGCCTCAAACTGGCAGCCCTCACCGCGTGACCAGGAAAAGGAACACGCACTGTGTGCTGGGGCTCCACAATGTACCTGTACTCGTCCGCGCGCGAAATGCTGATCATGCAAAGCTGTTTCTTTTTGGCAGATATAGGTCTGTGCTATAGTAAAACGACTCAACATGAACGGTCGACTATTTCTCTAAACGCGACGGATCCGGTCGTTGAGGTCAATTGGGATGGAAGACGCTACATCTGCAGAGATTGATCTAGAGCAGAATGAAGATGTCCAGGACGTACAGCCAGAAGCGCCGGACTACGCGACCTCGCAGCTCGTGCGACCGCTCTACAACTGGGAGATCTCTAGAGACCACCTCGTATTCGCTGACATGTGTGGGCTCGACACGAGCAAGCGTCACGTTTTACACCTCTTAGAGCCTGTTAATGCGGGGGTGCACGGCGGTGTACTACTGACAGCAGCGGGTAACACAGTCCAACTGCTTACTATGAGTCCACAAGTCGCAGCCTCTGGCTCAAGTGTGCAGAGCCGACGTTATGTATTTGGCTTTGGCGGTAGCGGTATTGGCAGTCTCGCGGTGCATCCGTCTCGGAAGTTCTTCGCAGTGGGTGAAAAGGGAGTGAAGCCCAACATCTCCATCTATCGCTACCCGGAACTAACGGTATCTCATGTATTACGGAATGGAACGGAACGCGCTTATGCCAGCGTGGAATTCAGCCAGGACGGCGAAACACTGGCATCTGTGGGCAGTGGCCCCGATTTCCTGTTAACAGTGTGGAAGTGGCGCGAGGAGCAGACGGTTCTTCGATGCAAAGCATTCGGACAAGACGTATTTAGTGTTCGTTTTGCTCCGACGGACAGTGGATTTCTCGCTACCAGTGGCGTCGGACACATCCGCCTCTGGAAGATGGCAGCCACTTTCACTGGTCTCAAACTACAGGGTGACATTGGGAAGTTCGGCAAAAGTGAGCTCAGTGACATCGAAGCTTTTTGCGTGCTCCCCGACAAAAAAGTATTGAGTGGCACGGAACGCGGCGTACTTTTGCTATGGGATGGCAATTTTATCAAGTGTGAGATCATGACATCCCGACGCCATCTTCCCCATGCCGGCACGATTAATGTTGTGGATTTCGATGAAGATGAGGACCATATCGTGACAGCAGGAAAAGATGGCTACGTGCGGTTTTGGAGCTTCGATTCCATTGACAGCGCGGATGTCCCGGCTGATGAGACTGTCGCTCTTGTCCCTATGAAGCGTCAGGTGCTGGTGATGCCTCAAATGGATATTCGTGCTGTGGTGAAGCAAGACACAGGTCGGTATCTTTTGCAGGATGGCGTCGGTGGTGTGCATTTACTGTTGCTTATCAACAATGATGAGCATCTCGTCGAGATGGACTATGTCCCCAACGACACGGGTCGTGCGACGGGGATTGCGTGTTCACCTTACGAGCATCTCGCAGCTACTTGTGGCGAAGATGGCGGTGTTCGTGCGTGGGATTATGTTTCCGGCACTTGTCTGATGGCTGTGTTTCCAGAGCTGCCATGCATCGAAGATCAAGACAATGGCGGTGAATACACGGCACTGGGAGCCGCTACCACGATTGCATGGGTGCCAAAGAGTGCTGCGGTGATTAATGATATCTTACCAGCGAGCAGACAGGTAGCAGTGGGCTTTGATGACGGTTTGGTGCGCATCCTACTAATGGACGTGGATCATCGTGCATGGGTACTCGTCAACGTATTCAAGCCACACAGCAAGCGTGTAACGTGCGTGGCGTATTCACACTCGGGTTCTTCTTTTGTGTCGGCTAGTGCGGATGGAACTTTCTTCCTCTTCCACGTCGTGCCCAATATCAAGTCATCCAAATTTGTTAAGTACCAGTCGGAGTACGAGCCTTACGGATTCCAGCGCGTACCAGCATCCGTGGTTGCTATTTGCTGGCGTGATGATGACGAGGCAGTTCTTGTCACACTAGCAAACGGTCAAGTTTTAGAATATTTCGTGCCCGGTGATCTGGACGGGAATACTGGGGGAGACACTGAGAGATCGGACACTACGACTACTGACGAGTCTATGTTTCAGCATGAAGCCTCTGCTGCAGAACGAGAATCGTTTGAGCTCCAGTTATCATCTCGTGAGTGGATGCTGAAACACAGGAACCGGTTTATGACTGTAAAGGAGCTAGAAATACTCGAGGCTCAATACCCAAACATTAGTTCTCCCGAGACGGAAGACAAAGTCCGTAACCAGTTCCAGGTAGAAGTCAAACCTGCGAATGGTAGAGCAAAGGCGTTGGCGGCTCTCTATACGCCAATGACAGAGCAAGA